CGAATGAATACGTGACACTATCACAGACTCAAGCAATCGTACGCCAGCCAAGTGATGCGCGACTTTGTGTTTGTGGAGTCACATAAATAGAAACAAAGTTTTCCACCTCCTAGAAGTTCAATAAATGTCTAAAATATTTTGAATGTTTATTGAATACAGCACTGTCATGCATAACTTGCCTTTCTCCTATTGTTTCCTCTTTTCTTCCTCTCAGAATGTGTTGTTTGTCATGACAGCAACTTCGCTCCTGGTTCTTGGAGGGGCATACTTGCCAGCCTCCTACCCCGTGACTGTGGTCCCTGTGATAAAACTTGGTTTAAATCACTGTTCCTGCCTTTTTGGATTTTTATGGCCACAGTTCGAACTTTCAAAGTGGCACTTTAAACTCCCGAACAGTCGAAGTAGCCACCATTCGACCACGTGGTGGCGGCCATCTTGTTCACATGGACCAAAACCACGAATAGACTTCAGGGGGACTTAGCCGCGAATGCCCTGGAACTATTTTCGTCATGAAAACCTTGTGGTTTCCGGTTGGTCCTCAAGCCGCGATTCTATGGAACTGTTTTGGGCGTGGGACCATGCCTGCGCCTGGGCAAAACTATGATTTCCATAAAATTTCTGAACCCCTGATCTGATCTGGGTGATGACATGTTGTTTACCCAGATCATGGCTATCAGGGGATGTAAGATGGGGATATGTTGTGTTTTGGGGTCCTTTTTTTTTTTAAATATGTGTTTTTTCTGCCTGGAGATAATTGGGTTAATACAGTATCTGATCCAATTATCTCACAGGCAGAGGGGAGGGATTGTATGTTTGTTGAGGGAGTGTCGAACACTTAATTACTGTTCTGATTGGTTTGTAAGCTTTGAGTCCCTGTCCCCAACAAGGTCCATGTGGACGTACACCTTGCTTGGGGACTTGCATAAAAGGCCAGTGTGGCACCATTAAAATTCAGTTCATCTTCACCCTCAACTTGAGTCTTGTCTCTTGTGTGGAGGGGACAGCTGTCTCACTACAAGTTATTGCTATAATCATTATACTCCCTTGGATTCTCCGAACTCTTGTAAGAGCTATTCCTGCTTGACTCTCTGGAGGAAGAGAGGTTCACCCACTGGAACCTGGAGCCTTGTCGTAGGTCCAGAGTTGGTAGGAGACGGTGAGACCCCAACCAAGCTGAGGCGGTTGTGGGGTCTGTAGTGCTTATGGTGTCAGGGGGAGTGCTTGGATTCCTCGGTGAGCACTAGGAGCATCCGGCGGCAGAGGTACCCAACTGGGGTACCGGAAGCTCTGTTACATTTTTCTTTTGTTACTGATCTAGTTTTCTTTATAACATAACACAAAGTGGGAGCTACTTTGTCTTATGTACTTTTCATACGCTTGACTTTCTTTAACCAAAGGAGAAACTTAAGTCTCTCAAAGGAGGATATGGGACTAAGTTAAGCTGCTCTTTGTGTTAGTTTGTTCATGGTCACGTGAGCTATCTTGTGTTTTCTTTCTGTTACATGTGCATATTGTATGCAAGTTACCATTGTACAGAGCTATGGAATTTGTTGGCGCTATATAAATAATAACATAATAATATTGTAGTGATTGAGGATTTAGGTCCAACTGATATCCATATGTTGGGGATTTACCATATGGATAAATAAATAATCCCCTGCCTGAATAATTAAGCATATGACGAAAGCCCTCTCCATGTGAGTGTACTTCTCATTTATTACACCTTACAAATAGATTTACAGTATCACACTATTTTGTTTTCCTTTTTCTTTTGAGTATCATGTAATTGGTCACTACTGGTCATCAGTGGCTATTATCCACAAGTAACACAATCAACTGGCACAACCTGTATTTTCCTTCTTTGTGTTGATCTGTTTGTAGTTGAAACCTTACCTGGAATCTAGCTCCAGGTGAAGTTTCCTGCACTGGTTTCCATGCTCCTTATCAACATCAGAGACTCCTTTTTGAGGGTCAATCAAATGCTTCTACTAGAGAAGCATCTGATTTGACCATTCCCACAAGCTCGGAGAGCATGTGCACACACTGAGCCGGTATGGAGAGTGAGTAAAGGAATATAAAAAAAAGTTAAAATCACCAAAAAATAGATCATTAACCACTGCAGAGAGGTGGGGAGGGCTAAAATAAAGAAGGGAAATAGGGCACACTGCAGTAGAAACTGATAAGCTTTGTCGCCAGAGTACTGTGCGCGCTTACAGTAGATATATTGTTTTGCACAGAGTTGACATTTTACACCCATAACAGAGGGTGCTTAAGTCACATGTGGCGGGGGTGTAACTAGCTCCGGGAAATATGTAAGTATGCACAGCGTTTCTAGCAGGGACTCTGCACATACAGATTCCACCACGACCACTCTTCTAAAAGCAGAAATGGTTATTGGAGTAACCCTTTAACAGCTGCTATTTTAAACAAATGTCACTGCTCATATGAGATTGATTTGAACATAACTATGAGACATTCAGCTCAATCCAGATTCAGTTTTAGTCCATGGAGAATAAAAGGCCTCATACGAATTTTGTTGAATTGAAATTAAATGAGCATATTGAACATCACAAATTATGATAACACAAATATGTAGCTTCAAAAACAGACATTGTCTTTTAACAGAGCTGAGCCAAGCCCAATTAAATCAACTAAATTATTTCCCTGAAAAAAAAAATATATATATATATATATATATATATATATATATATATATAAGGCTATGCGAGGCCCTTTCCAAGTGTCTTGCTGCTTCACACACCTTAACTATGGTACAGCAAATTACAATCATCACAGGAAGCAAGTGAAAATGTATTTCTATACAATGGCTTAGGACCTTCCAAATTCCTTATTACTGCCACACAACATAGTCTTTTAATGCACCAATCACAAAGCACTAGATTCGATATGCCACTTATGGCTACTAACCTTGTAAACTGATATGCTGCCTCAAAATTCAGTTATGATTCATTTAAAAAACGGCTGCAATGCTTCTTAAAGTTTGCCTTTTTGTTAGCTAAAGCAATCGCATTGATACTTTCTTAATGCACCAAATATCTTGTTGACTCAGCTAAATCTGTGAAAAACCTGAACTATTTCACTGCATACATTTGATCTCCAGTTATTACAGTGTGCCCCATTTCTATTCCAAATCTGTATCACTGTCAATTCTTCATTTCACAACAAAGCCTCAAAATACTTTTCTATAACCAGGATAGTATTGAGTTCCAAAATTTTCAATGCAGCATCCCACTAAACAAAACAATTCCATCATCTCCCTTCCCACGTTTGGGTCATTTTGGTTTACCCAACCTAATCCGTTTGTTTTCTCACCTAAGATTTGGCTGAACAGCAGTTGCTCCAAGTCACCCAGCACAGTCACCACTAATTCTGGGTCCACCTTTAAAAATGTCTTTTTATCCTCAGAGGACTCTTTATCAGGGTCATCCACCCCGGGTCCAGCCGGGGCAGGGTCTGGTGCTTTACTGAGTGGTTTGACCTCAGCATATGGGCCACGAGGTATACGGCTAGGGGTCCGGGGCTGAAGTAAAGAGTGCTCAGAGCGAGACAGTGCCCGGGACATGGCTGGTGAGGCTGGGGCTGCAATCTGGCTTCTAGGGGGTTTCACTGTAGAAAGGTCATCACACCAGTCAGGGCCACATAGGCGTAGTTTCTTCTCGGCATCAGTCAACACAGATAGATTTGTAAGGGATCGCTGGCGTCGAAGAGGGGCTCCAGGGAGACGCGATTCATGTACAACAGCAGAGGGGCCACGGAAGACACGAAGCTCCGCAGAGCGACCAGGACCAGCACCCGAGGGGGGCTTCACCTTTCTCTGCATCATCACACCTCCCCTCCTTGGAGAAAGGAGCGGCAGGGAAGGTTATAAGTGATGCATATGTAGGTAATGGGGGGAGGGGAAAAAATAAATACAGCAAAGAAATGGAAAGGATTAGAAGGGCTAGTAGTAAGCGTGGGCGGGGGAGAGAAAAGAGGCGACAGAGATGTATGTTTAAAAAAAAATAATTACTGTCGTGAACAAAAATTGTCATAAGAACTCAAAAAGATAGGCATTGCTACCATTGATGTCATTAGGTGAAAAGCAAAAGAAGAGAGGCGTGCATCGTGCTGATGAAAATGGGAATACGAAAGATAAAAGGAATAGAACAATCAAGATCTGAACCAAGGATATAGCGTGAACACGTATGCGAGGACAATGTAAATAGACAGGATAGAGAACGGCTAGATAAATGGAAATGAGAGCAATTCTTAAACAAAGAAAAAATAATGAAAATGTAAAAATATATACAGTTCGAAGTGTGTTAAGTCCTGGGGAGTCTGAACCGACTACCACCGGAGCGGCTATGCGTCTCCCCTTCCCCTTTTGGTCCTAGCGGTGCATGAGCACAAGGAAGGCACTCCCTCTGCTTCCTCTACCTCCCGGAGGATGCTGAAAGAGAGGAAGGAGGGGAGGAGAAGAGGCAGAGACCGCAGAAAAGCCGAGGGGAGGAGGGAGAGACAAGCTGATGAGACACACTGACCAAACAAAGGTTCAAACTGAAAAGAGATCTACACTAAGCGAGGGAGAACGCGGAAACATCTGGAAGACAGACATAAGGGGAGAAGAAAAAAAGGAATATATGAGAGAGCGAATGAAAATAGAAGGAGCGACTTCCTCGAGACATTATGTGGTGACAAACTATGTTTTGCATCGAATAGATAGATGATAAATAGAAAGACAAGAGACGTACTTTCCCTATTTTATATTTTATTTTACAAATTTGAAATAGGATGGTATTCTTCTGTTACTACCTAGTTAAAAGCAGCATGTGTGTATCTGTTTTATGTTTGGTTAATAAATCAAAATTTTGTTTTGCTATCCATTGCTTTAAATGTCACAAACTAACATTTTCTTTCTCATTTGCTGGTCTATTGCACCACTTAATGTGTATATTAGGCTCTACTTAAATGCTGGGGACACCCATGTAGATACATTTAGCCCTGGACATTTTATGAGTGTGTAAGTCATTTGAAAATCGAGTGTAAGCCCTTTTTGCATGTTAAATTTCTTTATAGGTGCTTTGAGCCAAACTCTTGTACCCTCAAAATAAGAATCTCCAAAATTAAATTCACAAGCCACCAGCAGGCAACTAATTAAATGAGGGGGGAAAAACAGGCACCCCAATCAAGCGTTTATGGACCAGGATGGCACTGGCAAAATAGCCAGAGGAGGGGGTATCAGATTAAATAAATCCTAGAATGAGCAGCTTTAATTGCCCACACCCACTTACTTATTTTCTCATTTCTTGTGGAGTAGGATGAGGCTTTAAATAAATTTAAAGGGTCCTGAAGACCTACCTATTAGAACGCTCTTTCATCCATTCTCTTTACTTGATGCAGTGGTTTAGAGATTAATAAACTGGCATTGTGAGTTTCTACAGATGCCCACTTACTTCATCTTTCACCAACCCTGCTGTCAAGTGGGGTTTTTACTATTTTAACTACAGTTTTTGAAAAATGAATAATCAAACATGTGGGTCCAATGGTTCCCCAAACATATTAAGTGAGCCTCTGGGTATCACATAACAAATATGTAACAATGCCGGGGATGCCCAGTCCCTGGCATGGCAATGAATACACCTATAGCAAAGTTCAGTAAGCTCTGCGGGTGCCATATGATACCCAGTCCCGCAGCACCCTCACAATTTTACTGCTAACCCAGCTGTGTCCTTAAATGTATATGGGCAAATAGATGTTTCTTCCTTCACCTTTCACTGTTTGAATTACCAAATTATAGATGCCACACTAAGTCACGTAAGACAGAGATGTAATTAGCCTAAGCTAAAAAGAGCAACTATCTAAGAATGCGCAGCGTTAACAAATCCTGATGATGTTCAGCTAATATTAAGGTACATAATTGTTAATTACCCAACTTTTGGCTGCCCCTGGTGTTAAACTAAAATAACTGTTACCTAATCTAATGTCAATCAATGTCATTCATATATCCTCACTCATCTTTTGCCCATAGAAATGCCTATTTTTAAGACCAGACTCCAGTATGCCTGGAGTTGTAGGAGGGATTTTGTCTGGCCTATATCTAGCTTCCTCCCTTCTACCTCCTGCCATTCCGCCAATGTTTGGAGCCTGGTTGCTAGGCTATTGTAAACAACTTCCAGTTCGCAGGCTTCCCAGCTTTTGATTGTGTCCTGGCATAGGTGGAGGAGGGACCAATTGTGAGTATGGAGCCTGACCCCCAGGTCTCTTCTCTTTAACACTGTACATTCAGCCTCCGTTCAGCTGCGCTACTTATTCACTGTGTTTCATTAGTGGGCCACACAGGGCCGGTACAAGGATTTTTAGCTACCCAGGCGAAGATGCATTTTGCCGCCCCCTTTAAAAAAAAAAAAAAAAAAAAGCATCTTCACCTGTCTTGTTGTAACCCCTCCTTTTGAATTTATTACCCCTTTTATGCTCTAGTGTATTTTATTCCCCCTTTAGTATGTCTTACAAACCCCTTTGTATGTATCTTACCTCCCTCCAGCCCCTTTGTGTGTCACTTACCTCCAGCTCCTTTCTGTGTCTCTTTCTTACCCCAGCCCCTTCTTTGTCTCCTTCTCCACCACAGTCCCTCTGTGTGGCTCTTTCCCCTCAGTACCTTTGTGTGTACCTCACCTCCAGATCCCTTTCTGTGTGTTTCCTCCCAAGCCACAGCCACACAGGCATGGTTTTCAGGCACACAATCATAAAAGGCACAAAATTAAAGTCATACAGGTACACTGTCATACAAACACAGACATAACCATACAGACACAGAGACATACAGTCAGAGACATACAGACACACTGGCAGAAACATACAGACACAGTCACACAGAGACATACACACATACAGAGACATATATGCATTCAGAGACATGCAGGCATACAGAGGCATACCATCATACAGATACATACATACATACACGCATACAGAGACATACATACAGGCATACAGAGACATACAGGCACATGCATTCAGAGGCATACCGTCATACAAGCATATACATACATACAGACATATACAGACACACACATACGTACATACAGAGACCTAAAGGCATACAGGTACATGCATACAGAGACATGCATACATTTAATTACATGTTCCTGGGGTACATGCTGTCCGGCTCTCTGGAGTCCTGTCCTGCATCACTGGGCGCCAGCAACGTTGGGGTCATTCATATCCCCACCCCCTCCACACAGCCTGCGGCAGACAAAGGGGTAAGAGGCTGGGCTGGATGGGCAGTACGAGGCTGGGCTCCACAGGCGGAAAGCTCAGGGCTGCGCTCGGCCATGCTACAAGAAGTAACCGGCTGGAGGGGGGGGAAGTGCAGTGCTGCGGCCACACTTCATTAGCAATTTAGTACATTTGGCTACGCTATATTTTCACTTTGGTTAAGTACATTCAGCCTCCATTCAGCTCTGGTACATTTGACCTATGTTCAGCTGCAATACATTTTCATTTTGGCACAGTACATAAGACCTACACTACTTCGGTTCAGTACATTTGGCCTACATTGGGCCCTGCTACATATTCACTTTGGTTCAGTACATTCGGCTACGCTACATTTCACTTTGGTTCGGTGTAAAAAGAGAAAACAAGGGAAGAAACAAAAACGCTTATAGTGTAATATGTAATACAAAATTAAAAACATATAAAACCAATAGGACAAGCACTCACAAGTGTATAGCACATACCTGCACCTTATAACACCCGCAGCCCATTTGTGGCATGCCAAAGGATTTTGGGCAGCCCACGAGGACAGGGCCCGTGCTACCATAAGGCGGCACAGGTGGCTGCCTTGGGAAGCAGGATCCATATGAACGGCACAGGAGCTTCTGTAACCTCTACCCCGATCTAACAGAGAGCGCTGAACTGCTTCCTGTCAGACCGTTTACAGGAGCTTCTCTACCACAATCTGCGGCTCGGCCATGCACAGAAGGGGCAAACAAGACAGACATGGACTAGAGAATGGGTAAAAGAGACAGGAGCTGAGGAGAGACATATAGCCAGAGTGGCTGGGGAGATACAATGAGACACAGAGGAGCTGAGGGGAGAAAAAGACAAGATTCTGCGGGGAAAAGACACAGAGAGAGCCTGGGAAGCAAAGAAAGAGACACACTAAAGACGTTGCGTGGAGAAAGAGACATACAGAGGGGCTTGGGGGACAAAGACACAGAGGGGCAAAAGAGAAAGACGTGGGCTAGAGAAGCAGCAAAAGAAACAGACAGGGGTTGAGGGGAGACACCCAGAGGGGCTAGGCTGGGGAGAAAGAGAAAAGGTGCTGAGAGGAAGACATACACAGAGGAAATGGGAAGGGGAGAAAGTGACACACAAAAGGGGCTGTGGGAGAAAAAGATGCACATGGGGGGCTAAAAGAGACACAGAGGGGCTGGGAAACGTGCAGACAGACATGGACTGGGGAGTGACAAAGAGACACAGAGGGGAAAATAAATTTGAAAACATCGATTTCACACATGATTCCAGAGTATGATGAACTGCTGGCAAGAAGTGTAATGAGTCACATTAATGGTAAGGAAATCAAAAATGTATTTAAACGTGTACCGCTTAAGTAATTTTTATAACATGGTTTATTTGCTAAATAGTTTAATCATTAATTATACCTTTGCTTGGAAACTGAGACGCGGAAAACTTATCTGTGGCCTGAAGAAATTTAGCCTATTTTAATTTTGGCCTCTACCTACTGTCAAGTTGGTATAGCAGAAATAAAATAGTGCTACACTTGGAGTCGTTCGCCTGTATTGCCGTTCGCTGAACAGATTTTGTCCACAAGCAGGACTTTCTTAAGAGCTGTGTTCTCTGACCCGAATGTTTGCCATTTTATAACCCTTATGATTGGCGACTTGCTTTATCCTCCTTTTTTGTAATTTGTGGCTTCTATATTTGCGGCTTCCACATTTGCTGCGTGTGACGTCATCTCACAGCTCACAAATAGTCAGAGGCAGGCACTTACACACATACTTACAGGCAGTCACACACACACAGATATAGGCAGTAACACACACAGTTACAGGCACAAAGTCACACAGTCACAGGCAGACAGTTACAGACAAAGCGCTATTTTGACAACATGGGCGCTTGGATCAGAGCTATCCGGGGATGTATGTGGGGGTCCGTGCCTGTTTAATTGTGTTTTGGGGGTATTTCATGTTAGGCTCTTTGTGTCCAGGAGATAATTGATTTAAGCAAGGGATAACCTAATTTCCTCCCTGTGACGAGACCAATCTCGCCACATTGCATTGGAGAAGCCTATTTGCCAGCCTCATTCCACATGACTATGGCCCCTTTGAGATGGTGAAAACGTATGCACTTTTATTGGGTGTGTATGGCCCTTTAAGACAGTGGGCATATTGTGGCTTATGGACTCTTTATGGGACTGGTGCTGGCCCTTTAAACACCTTTTTGGGACATCAGGAAGATTGGGACACGGCCCCTTTAAGACAGTGTCCCCAGACTTGTTTGGGACACTGCCCCTTTAAGACGGTGTCCCCTGTGTCCCCAGACCTGGTTGTGCCTGGCTATTTCCCACTTGGTTCAGTAAATGGGGCTTACTGAACCAAGTACCACACAGGCAGACCACCCAGAAGTGGAAGTGTGTCGGCAAGTTACCTCCCAGAAGCTGCGGTTAACCGCAGCTTAATTGCCGAACGCTGGGTGGCCTTTGTTTGTTTGCCGAACACGTGGCGGCGGCAATCTTTGTTATTGCGAACGAGGTCAGCGGTATGTGTAGCCAAATTCATGGAACTAAAATCGGCTACACATTTCCGCGAACACCGCTGAGCTCTACCTTCTCCCCTACTGATTTCAGCTGCAGAGACTAAGTCCCATTCGGCGATCTATGGAACTGTTTTGGGCAGGAAAATGTGCTTGCGGTCGGTCGTAAAGGGACCTCCAGCTAACTTTTTAACCCCTGGATGGATTTGTCTGATTTTTGGTTATGTTTATGTTTAAAGTGGGCTGATTCCAAATGTGTAATTTTTATGAAGATTGGATGTGTAGTTTTAAAGTTAAAGTACATGTATAAAAATTTTTATTTTTCCTGCTTGTGATAATTATGTTAAGCATTGTGTGCCATAATTAGATCACAGGCAGAGGGGAGTATTTTTGTATGTAATTGCTGGGAGTGTTTCTGTAATGTACGTTTATGATTGGTTGTTGTGTAAAACCCTATG